CTTGTATTCCAAAGCGCAATTACAGGACTTGGCAAAGTGCCAAGAGCGCCGCGCGGACGGCTGTTAGCATAAACGGGAGTCTGCGCCGCAAAAGGCATTGGGCGGAGCATGGAGGAATTAGCGTGTTTCACGGTCCTGTATCTCCATTCCTGCGCATGTTAGGACGGGGAAACCGCTACGCTTCGACAGCTGGGGGCTGATAGTCACGCACACCCAAACTATGTGTGATCGTACCATGTGTCTTTAAGTGGCGAAGGATGAACTCAATAGAAGAGCACTTGAAGAAATATACGATTTTCACACTTGGTGTTATTTGCCTATAGCTGCTAGTTTTACTACTGCTTTTTGTTTGTTCTCTCTACATAATGTAGATCGGTGGATGTTCACTGTCGATGGTGCTGTTGCTTGCAAGCAAATACACTGCTCATCCTAGCGATGGAGTAGGCGTGGCTGCGTACTTTACTTGGACTTAGCGTAGGATCCGTTGTTCGTGGGATATTCCCATTCGGTACAAGTGTTGTCCTTTCTTGTACTAAACAAAGTCATGACTGCAACTGTTCTAAAACTGCATATCCTCCAGAAGCGCAGCTACCGCTACGTTCACATGAAGTACGCAGCCACGGACTCTCCATCTCTGGGATATGGAGAGTAAGTAAAAAACGCACCAAGTGAAAATGGGTGATTTCGGTGGAAGAATACTGGTGAATGAACTAATAGACCCACACGGGCCAGTATTCTCAAGCTGGGCAAGCGTCAAGTGGTTTTTGCACAATCCTTTGGGTGAGCGTAAGAGGGAAATGGCTTTCTGTCAACGAGGAACAAACTTACTGACCGCGTGCGTAAGAGTTCAATGAACGCCGCTGCAGTCGGCTATTGACGCATTATTGCTGAGGAAAGAATCGAGATGTTTGAAGAGTAGTATGAAGAAGTGAAGCGAAGGCTAGGTCTGGCAAAGATGATGGAAAGCGTGAGCGTTTCATAGCCCAGCTCGTTCAATTTTTTTGGAAGGCAAGTTAAGCATGGACGGGCTGAGCGTTGTCGTAGAGTGGAACTAGGCCCTCGTTGTTGACCAAGCCCGGCTCACGGGCTTGAGTTTGCAGTGTGTTCCGGAAAGAAGAAGGACGCGTACAAAAGCTCCCAAAAGACGTGGAACTATGAGATTTACACCCGCAGGCTTTGAAAGCTGAAAAATCTCGCAAAGTTGGTGGTAAAGAAAAAGAAACTGGACATCGAGCTCCTGATCGGGTTTAAATATGGGATGCGGCCAAGCTCATCCTCCGTCCGGCTACAACATTGCCAGCAGCAACAACGGCACCCTTCCGGAGAAACAGACTGAAAAAATGGGGATAGAATTCCTTGACAACCTTCAACGAAGAATTCCTGGGTAAGGGTTAGCCACAGATAGAGCCAATGACAGGCCCAGTTGTCCTCTGTGCAGAGGGATCTATAGGAAGGACGAGAAGGCAATTTTGAACAGATCCTGAATCTCCGAATTCACTGACAATCGCGAACGATGAAAAAAAGAAGACACTGGGAATAAAATTCAGGGCGAATCCAGTTAATGACGGATCAGAGCCGTTACTGGCTCAATATCTCAGAGCGTCCAGCTAGCACTAGCAAGTTCGGGTGCAGACTGGAAGGGTTTCTGGTGAAAGCTCCTAATGAAAAGAAAAACTTTTTGTGTCCATCACAAGAGCACTTACCTGCCATCAATATTTAGCGTTCGCATAGGCGGTGCAGGCCACTTTGCCCAACATATGTTCGTTTTTTGGCATTTTTCGAACATTTTTTTTGTTTAAATTAATATATTATTTGCATAACTATTACTAAAAATCAAAAAATCGCAAAAAAACGGAGAAAACCCGCGCGTTCCTTCGTAAAGACACAAATGGTCGAGGAGCTACTACAATCACCCTCGGAAGTGAACGCCGCAGCGTCTGGTACAGAAATAATTCATAAATTCGCTGAACTGATGTAAGGCCCAGGTAAGCCGCTCTTCTTCATTTAAAGGTACTACTACACATCAAAGACCGCAAGTTACACAACACACCTGCACCAATGGCTGTACATAGTCAATATCTACACTGTCGTTCGCCTGACGAGATTGAATTAACCGCTGAATTGACAAACACAAATCTGAGGCTTCGTCCACTTCAGTCGCCATGATTATCTATGAAGGACATGTAAGGCTAGGAAAAAGTGAAAAACAGGCGCAGTTCAGCTTGGTGGGGGCATTTTGCTGGCTCATATCGATCATTGCTTACGCCTTTGGAGACCTGTGAATTCCTGCAACGCTATGCAATAACATGGGTTTCGCCTGCACATGAAAGCTCACCTGGTTTCACCAAGGAGTGACGTGTTATTTAACTGATCACTAGTAAAAGAGAATAGCGAAGTGCAAATGTCGCTCCCAAGCCGAACGGCGCTAGAAAACAATTGAGAACTCAAATTTCCAAGAATCACTATGGAAACCCTCTTCAGCACTTTAGTAGTCGTCATGAATAAATAATTTATTTTTACCCGATAAGCGGAATGCTGTACACAAACTGATAGGTTTCAATACAAAATCTAGCCGATTGCGATGACGGCACAGCGAAACACTCAATATTCATACTATACCGAAGAAAAACATACACAGCAAAGCTTTTATGTAGCTGATGAAAATACAAGCCTAAGAACGCTTTGTGGAAATGTGAAGAGAATTTCGGTCAAATACATTTGAGAGAATCAGAACTTCCACTTACATTGTCTAACATGTTTAGGAATGTTGTTCAAAATAACCTATGGTACATTAGCGATCATTGCTAAACTACAACCTAATAAGCGGATATGTGCATAATTCGAATCAGATTATACCGGTGTAAAACTGGGAAAAATCTCCTAAGTCGTTAAAAAGAAAAAAAAACGCGAGGTTTACCCATCGTAAAACGAAAGAGTATCACAGAGTCACGCACACACACGAATAGGATCAAAGACACTAGAAAAGACCCAAATGTTCGGAGAGAGAGCGTCGATGGTCATACCCGTTCTCTGAAACAGAATAAACAAAAGATAGCTATTAGATATGTCCGAAAATAAGAGATCTGAGTCCCGACTGGAATCAACTTTCACCCATAAATTAATACCCCATTCTAATATCCAGCGCGATGAGGGGAAGAGGAGCGGTCGAAAGTAGCAACTGTTCTTAAATGTTTTGAAGTTGTTTCATGATGATGACTGCTGTTTAACGACGCAGCTATGGATCCCAATCACATTTTAACACTCGCTTGTGGAAAATTACAGCAATCCCGTTACAATATACGTTCACACTGCCAAGACGCCCTCGCTACTCTAGGATAAGCCACCTTCTGAACGGTAAGGCCTAGTTTTTTTTTAATCTAGCACACTACGCTATCATACAAATAGATAAAGTTGAAAACAAAAGTTTTAACAGACTGGAAATTGATGAACTTCTTCAATACTTACTGGATAATAACCTAAAGGTAACCCCAAAGGTGATGAGTAGTTCGAGACGCATTTGAATTGTAGCCTCCCATTGATTCTGCAGTTTCCAAAATACCCCTATAGAGACTTGGTGCAGATGTCGATCGAGTCAGCTTCGGAAGAGAGACACCGCGCAATTTGTCGAGCACCTGTGAAAAACGACATAAGAATTGGTATCAGAGAATAAGAAAGCATTCTGAAGGAGGCCTTTGTAAGTCGTTAAAGTGCACTAACAAAAGTCGATTTAATCATGGCTTATTTTGGTTTAAATCAAGTGTGAATTCATAATATACCAAAGGTGAGAGGAAAAGGCGAGAAGTAAATCTGTTGAAGCACCAACCTCGCTGAACTCCGGTCTTTCACTTCTATTGTATTTGATGCAGCGCTCATAAAGAGCCAGCAATGGCTTCGGAGTATCCGATCGTATTTTCGAAGCGTCCGGTCTGAGATAGCCACGACCAACCTAGAAAAAAAAATGGTACTCGAACAATCAAATGTGATGAAGATATCAGATCATTTCAGGTTAGCGAAACAATGACAGCTGACTCTTCAGATGATATCCCTGCTAAGGAAAGGATTACTTATCCGTCACCCAAGCCATGGAGACTGCGCTTTTAATCTTCGAGACAGTCCTTTTCCTGAAATAGTGCTGGAAGAGGTTTGAGTAGGTCATCTCTACCCGCGCTCATCGAATGGGCGATTTTCCGTGGCGGGATTCTTGACCCTAATATTACTCTCTCCCCAACCCATTTCTTCCTCTCCAACGACCCGTCCAAGACGGAATCTATTAAAGGAAAAACCTTTGCTGAGCCAAAGACGACCACCACCTCCAATGTCGGTCCCACAACGATGATATCAGTTTGTCAGTTGAAAATAGTGAAAACTGCTGTCGCTGCACTACTTTCCCATTTATGATTCAAAATAAAAAAGCGTAAAGAAGCTCACCATGAAAAGAATTTGGTCTCGATTATTTATATTAGTATATGGCAGAGAGCTTGATAGAACCTCATACATGACTATACCGAATGAATATACATCGGATAGCGTAGTGTATGGATTAGGGTCTTGCATGCGAATGACTTCCGGCGCCTAAATTTGCTGATTAACTGTAAAACGGAAATTCGTTAATGCAACAGATGAAACTTACCATCCACAGAATACTTCCAGTGGGCTGCTGACTTTGTTGCCCTCCACTCCAACGAGTTTTAACAGTAGCAAGACCAAAATCTCCAATTTTCACAGTACTCATATCGTCCATAAGGAAAATGTTGTTCGTTTTTAGATCTCTGAAATCAGAACTTTGAAGTGAAAATGACTTGATACGGATGTATTTCGGGCTTAACGGTCCCACCTATGAATAATATTTTTTGAATGCAGATAATTCATGCCTAAAGTTATTTGTTTGAAAATATCCAGAATAGTGCTCATCTCGAACTCCACACGAGGTTCTGAAATCAAAGAGTTACAGCTTCAAAACTTGAAAAACTTGCACAACTCCGGAAAGCTTCAATTAAAGAGGAACCCAAGAAGTTCCTTAGCAAGAATATTTCAGTGCGTGGCACCTCAACTACTGAAACCTTATGGGTTGCATAACAATTGTGGTCGCAAAAGAACTATAATCGTAACTCTAGTTATCTGCATTTTAGGATTTGCATTTCCACCGACGAAGGACGATCCCTCACGACGAGGGTTTTTTACAACGCTGTTTGCACTCAACATAACGAAATTCCTACTGTCTGGTTCACTGCGGATGATGGGGCGTGTCCGTGAGGTTGGGTGTGGCGCGCTGCCAACAAGCACCATGTGTAGACCTGTGGAAGCGGTGAGCGACAACAAATGGTAGAAAACGATTGATGCGATTGAAACGATTGACCAGTCTTGTCGCTTGCCGAAAGAAAAAAAAGAAAGGAACGGGCTGGTGACACCCAAACCCATCTCACACCGGACACGTCCTTTCATCCGCAGCGAGCAAGACACTTAGACTCGGATATGTTGTAGTGACTTGAAAGATGTTTGTACACTGGGACCAGCCAAACAGCTCTACAGCTTGGAGTGTTCAACATTTCGAAACTTTCACATAAGAGGGTCGCCAATAGAAAAATTAAGAGAACCGCCCACAATGGCGAATGAAACGGCAAACTTTGGTATTTTCAAAAATAAAACGTATTTCAGGTAATCAACTGTGCGGCTGGTCCTCTCTAGAAAATACCAAGGGAATATCCACTGCTCGCAAAGTAGATGACCTGTTTTTCATATTATTTCCATTGAAATAACACTTAAAGACAGCCCCCGCGCTCAAGTAGTACATGGTCGTCCTTCCTTGGGCAGGTAGTTCAGCCCCCAAGCTAGATACTGTCTCACTCTCGCGACTCCTCAGCGAGCGAGCGAGCTAGAACCGCTCAAAGTTCTAGTTCTAACGCCTGCTCAGTTGGACCGCCTCACTAGCTAGCTGCCCTCTGACGAGAGCCGCTCAGTTGTTCCTTGTTGGGACGGCAGTCATTAATCGGAACTGCATGTATTTTTTGCTGACCGCGCTCGTGCCCATAAATAATTCTGCTCTCCTTCATCACATTTTATTCATTGGGAGCACATACAGTCAACTGCAACCCATCTCGTAAGGTAAAACGCGTAAAAATCACGAATGAATTTCTGTGGTGCAAAAGCTCGACGCACTTCACTACACTAAAACATGCTCGCTACCGTAACCCTAAGTTCGGACGCCGGCTTTTTAAATGTTTCCTTTTCTTTTCAAGAGTTTTTCCTCTATGTTTCTGTTGTTTTTTGTTTTCTTTTCTTCGCATTCGATGATATCCACTACTGGGAGATGTGACAAAGTGATTTGTGAGCCAGGGCTTGCACAGAGACCGCAGGGAGGTGTGACTGTCAGGTCGCGATTTTGTTTATGGTGTTCTTGAGGGCTCTTGTTTCTTTTTTCTTCATTGAGGATTTCCAGCTACTGTTTCCATTGATCAGCAATTATCATTGAAACTTTTATCGCGGGAGCTGTCTTTAAGATGATCTCTGGCTACTCTTCAGCCGGGTACATCAACTAGCGCAATCTAGCAGCATCGGTTAAATAAAGAAGGTATCCAAGATTTCGTTCAGCTAAACAAGCTGCGACTGAGTGATCACCTGTATCACAATAGTCAACAACTCCAGAAGGTCTATCTTTATCAATGTAATCCCATATGTTGATGGATTCGGTAGTTACTAGAATAAGCCGCAAAGTAAACAAGCTGGTGGCTCTAGGTAAGTAAGAGGAATGCCGGCGAAATTGCTAGAAATACTCCTCCAAATACTCAAAACGCCTGATAACAGACAGAAAGATCATTTAGTGGTGTAAAACATGTCAACCTCCGACTATTAACGCTCTAATAGGGTATAAGTCAAATGAAAGGTTTGCAAAGCCTAAACGCCCTTAACACAGGTTCAAAAAAGGTAGACTTAATCAAACAACAGAAGCGGGTTAATCACCATCAGTAATTAGGGCATCCAGGAAAATGAAACAGTGTTTCAAAAGAGAAAGGGTACCCCTACTTCGTGCTAGCACATGTTCTTAGTCATCACAGGGAAGATAAATCAAAACAAAAATTCAACGTACCAACAACGTGGATGTGTTTGTAAAGGCTGCTGCCTTCACACCATTGTGTCACGATAGCGAGCGAGGGTTCACGAACCCAACCCATGAAAAGAAGCACATTCAAATGACGAGTTTTCTTCAGCACTGCTACCTGCAAATTTGAAATGAAAGTATGGAGCAAATGGGAATTCTACCCACGACCATGATCTTCAACGTGAAGCTGCGACAACCGCACGAACACGCCGCAATGAACTACACTATAAGGATGAGGCTGCGCTCATTGTTCGTGATGAATAAACGAATTTGGGAGAATGAGCGCCAAAGGTAAATGTAGGTGACGGTCTGGCGTTTCGGGATTTTATGCGAATCGGCACATTGACGTATTGGGAGAACGCGCGTTCTTTCACAATGTTGATATGTCGATTCTCTTACCATTCATTCCGTAAAGTAACTGTGGTTTAGGTTGTCTTCCAACTCTCAAAGTACTGCATTCCGCGCAACCTTGAATGCCTCTTGAAAATAGGGCACATTTTGTGGAAAGCAATCCATCGTGGAAGACACGATGCCTCCAGACGCTGCTTCAAGTCATCGATAATGCAGCTTCATTAGTGCAATATTTCATTGAGTTAGAGTAATCCTGGTTTTCCACACAACTTTCGAAAACTTACATGCTTTCTTTCTACGTTACGTTCTATCGTTCTCCTTCGCTTTTTTTTCTCATGTGTTGTGCGACAATTAGTGCCGCAGGGCAGGGAGAAACGATGCTAAGTGAGGAGATGTGCACAAAATAGGACCGCGTCGACGTTCTGTCCTTACAATTCCGAAAAACCCGTCCACTCAAGCCCTTATTCTAACATTGACAATTTTTTTTTGTTTTTTTTTCTTAACTTTTCAGTCACTGACACACACTATTCTCATTCTCTAACCTACCCCCCCCCCCCCCCTTCAACGAATGTCAATCGCAGGGTTTGTCTTGAGCAGCCTATCCCTCAAGAATGGTAGGTGGAAGTGGTCCTTCGAAATGGGATGTACACTGAGTGGACGCATCTGTCTATGTGTCTGCAGAAGACGGTTACGAATCCGTCCACAGACCTGTTGCGAACTTCTTTGTATGAAGTCAGGATGTTGCTAGCGGGTGCGTACTCACATTTAATACGAGTTTCGAGCATAGCGCTGCTTTTAATGTGCATCAGCAGAACGCTGATATGATGGACTTTTAATATGAACTGTCAACTGCAATTCTAGCGTAATTTGATGCAATTTGCCTCACATTCTGAGCAGCTTTAGTCCAAAAACTCGTTTAGAGTATGACTGCGCTCCCCTTTGAATAGCTGTGTCGTTCGTAGGGTCTGGAGGGGACGTGAAAGACGGATTCGTAATGATCATTCAAAGACATGATTCGGTATACAGTTGAAAAGACCGCTAGACCGTCTTTCATTATTAGGTACACGACAGCTCAACACCAATGGGAAAGAAAGATTACTATGTGCAAGGCATTACCTCATTCTTAAAGGCTTGAAGCTGCTGCAATGTAGGTTCGCCCACGTTTAATTTTTTTACAGCAACAAGGCCGAAGTACTCGCCACGATACACTGTACCAAATGAACCGGAGCCAACTTTGCATTGCAGGGTTATTTGCTTCTCATCAATCTAGAAATAAACGATTAGAAGGGAAGTACTCAGGGTGCCACCGTCTAGCAAGGACACGTACCTCCCAGTCTTCATGGGCAAGTTTATTAGCGAGAGCTCGTGTGCGTTGCGGTTCTAGCCTCTCACCTGGCGAACGACTTCTGCCACGGAAGAACCCTGGGGAGAACTGGAAAGAGAAAACCCATATTGGATGTACTGAAGTAATTCTGTATTCGATGAAGAGAAGAAAAACCACCTTTTGAGGAGGTGCACTTTGGGGTGGAGTGAGAGGAAGCGCTGGTGGTAGGAGTTGTCCAGCATGTTGCTGATTAGCCGGTGGAGATGAACAAGTACCTGAATATGGACAAATTATACACAAGCAACACTACAGAGCGGCATTCCTCAGTAATGTCAGCAGATTGGTTAAGTGAAGCATAACCAATCTGCTGACAGTACTGAGGAACATTCCAAGTTTTAGCGACAGTCGCACTTGGACACTAATTAGAACGGAATTCAGTTTTGAATTAATGTGAAAAACACGCATGCTCATCTCGCTGGCATTTTTCACTTCCCTTTATTTCCCTTTTCTTTTCCTTCTTTGTTGTTTGTCAGCTTGAGCGCACAAAGGAATGAATTTCGTTAGCTAATAAGACAGGAAGATGAGCATTAAAGAATCACCCCCATACTAACGTAAGTTAAGCAGAGCTAATAGAATAGGAGAAAAGGAGAACGGAAAAGAAAGAAAGAAATCAGAGAACAGGATCAGTATTTATTCTTGATGTAGTGAGTAGAATGACGAAGCTCTTCTCTTCATTGAATCTTTATTATATGACAACGTTTCGGGCATAAGCCCTTCTTCAGGTCACTCGATCTTAAATCAAACAGCTACCCTTACAACGTTACAGCATCAATAAAGTAAACTTAGCAATAACCCACACTATGTAGAATGGGGAAGGAGTACAGAACTCCGATAGCCCTCACTACGTAGCAGTACTGGCAGAAATGAAAGTGGAAGGATTGGGATCTTTTATAAGGGTGCGGGACAAGGGTGATCTCGAATAAGTCACGTATGTCTCATTCTGCACGTCTTATATTGATATCAAACTCATTGCCACTTCTCATCTCTTCCTTGCTGTTGATTGGTGGTTCTTGCTGCTTTATTTCCAGTGCCTCCCTGATCTTTCTTTCAACTGGATCTACCACATTTCTGTGTAAGATG